AATACAAAGAATTTCCACAGTCAATACATATGCAATCTCGATAACAAAACGCACACTTTATATTACCGTCACTACCGTTCGCTTGACTCAATTATCTGTCTTTATCTGCAATTATTTGCCGGGCTTATATACTAAAATAGAGGGCGCCTGGAAAAGATTAGAGTTGCCAGGAAAAGTCATGATCCTTCTAAAAACTCATAACATGTTACCAGTGTCAGGTGACTTCCGCTGTCGTAACAATATGTATCAAAGGTACCCCGCGCCAGGTGCGGAACCTAGTTCGTTGTCATCGCGGGGATTACGCAAAGGCATGCGTGTGCGTCATTCGCCCTGCAGATCAACTGAATTCTGGATATAGGTACTACGGCAATAGCAAGGGATATATGTTAAGAGGTTCACGTGATTTCATCTATCAAATTTCATCGAAATTATTTCAGCCAGTTACTCACACGAACTTGTGACGTCAGGACAACAAACAGATGTACTGACGACCCTGCTTCATATATATATGCGTGTGTGACGCTTAGAGAACACAAGCTTTTATGATCAACCATCTTTTTCCTCACTAAAGTGCGACAAAGAAATTCCAAGAGTTACAAATGGTAATTGTTGAAGTAATGAATGTTATATTATTTTGGATCTGAAATAACTCGTGTTTTTATGATGAAGTGCGTAAATCTTGAAGATTCTCGATTTAGCTATCTGACATAATGATTTATAGCAAAGATGCAATTTATAAAAGCGCCTGATTGACTAAAGCAGTCTTTCCCTAAGCCTTAACCCACGTAATCGTCACATTCCAATCTACAGTTGCGAATAGATGACGTAAAACCACGCACATTATGTACCGCTGTTAGCTCTATCTACCCAGTGGAGATTGATTTAAAACACGAGTAACCGATCTTACTTGTTTTAGGACATGTTCGTTACTTTTGTTTTAATAACTCCACAGTACATTAATACTATATATAGGTACATCACATTGTTAGCTCTACCTACCCATTGGAGATTGCATTTAAAACACGAGTAACCGATCTTGCTTGTTTTAGGACATGTTCGTTACTTTTGTTTTAATAACTCCACAGTACATTAATACTTTGTATAGGTACATCACATTGTTAGCTCTACCTACCCATTGGAGATTGCATTTAAAACACGAGTAACCGATCTTGCTTGGTTTAGGACATGTTCGTTACTTTTGTTTTAATAACTCCACAGTACATTAATACATTATATAGGAATGCATGAAACATTTTTAACTTCATAAAAGGGCGTGCCATAGCTGAACAAAGAAGTAATTGGAAAGCCTTTTTTAGTTTATAAGCTTCACAATACGAACTAACTTATTTTTAAAATATAATTTTTATGCGTTTATAAAAGAAAAGATATACACCGAGATGTTTTATAAAAGTTATAAATAATTTATATTTATTATTTGCTTATTTATGTTATATTTATTAAAGTTCTTTAACAACATAAATACAAGTTCTCCATTTATTAAAAATGTTTAATTTTTTCATTATCTACCTCAAATCCATGGTCTTGCTACAGAGTGGACTTCATTCAACCTATTCTTAAATTAAATTACGACAAAGAGAAGTAATTATATGAAATATTGTAATAGTAATAACAATAATTTGGAAAACAGTAGAAAAATATGAAATATTTTCACAGCTTCAGTTGTGAGCTATGAATATTACAATAGCTTATAAAAAGTGTGCATATATACTTGTATATTAAAAAGTTTTAAGCCGTTTCTCCATTTGATTTATGTTGCAATGTCCAATGTACAACAGTACGGACTGCAGTGCTATTAAGTAATATAATTCTGTTACAAAAATAAAAGATAATGTATGAGAACCAATTCACTTTTGACAAAAAAAGTATTAAAATTAGATTACGTTTTACGTTTTTTCACAAAACAAAAATATGAAACAGCATACCTATTGTTTTGATAATGTCAAATTCCTCAAGACGGAAAACTCTATCGCCGCTGACGTTTGTGATCACCGGCGGTTCTTTCATTGTTAGCGAACCAGCTCGTTTCAGCTTTCCACGATAAACTTTGTCTTTACTCGATGCCATGCAAAGAATCGACACAGAGAACCTACATAAAACTTTTTGTGAAACAGCAAAGCAGTAGGAGGTTCAAATAGGGTACAACGTTGACCTCAAGCTCGGGACAAAAGAAAAACGTCAGGTAGGGGTTTAGAACAGAACGACAGGGCAGTTAGGTGTACGACTGAAGATTGGCCCAGAGAAGACGCACAAATGTCCTATATTATATATGTAATTCAAATAGGTTAATGTTACGCTTACAGACAATAGTAACATAAACAGCCGGCGTTTTCCCCGAATACACAATAGGAAAAATATATAGCGAGTTTTCAAGATAAACAGTTGTAATGAGATTTTGCTTCCAGTTTCACACTAAATGCCTAACGTTTCTGTCAACTCTCTCACGCCACTACATCTGTCGTAGCTTCCTGTTTTGTGTACTACTACTACTAGCTTCTACGTGAATAAAAACAGGCTCTACAGGCCACTTTAATGGTTTCAGATTCATTATGTGTGGCGCGCTCTAGTAGCTAGTTATTATAAGTTTGATGTGCGCTCCAAAATTCCAAAGATACCACTTCAAATAGTATAATTTCTAAAACTGTAGGAAACAGTATTTCACAATTTATCGAGATATGCAACACTTTTTGATTTTCAAATGGAATTTTTTCTTCATATTCCACCAAAGTGGCTTTCGGGTAGAGACTTTCACACAAACAAAGCTAAATCATTTTATCCAAAAAATGGTTTGGTCAACGACAGAAAAGTCATTCTGCGTTTAATGTTCTACATTACATGGGGAAGAATTAT